CCCCAAAACCCCAAAACCCCTTTTCCTAAATGATCAGATTTAAAACAATAATTTTTTAGTATAAATAGCTTAGAATAGTTATCAGTTAATCTTATTCTTTTGATCAACTGATCGAGTCCATAAATTCATTCAATTAGGCAGGTTATCAGATCAAATCTTCTTCTTAATGGGAGATCTATTGTTAAGATGCTTCATCTAATCTTCAATAAGTTTGTCCTTTAGCATTTTTTGATTTCTTTTCTTTTCTAGCATCTTTTTATCCCAGATTTCCCTTTTCTTAAATTCCTCAAATGATACAGGATTAGCCTTTCTTTCCCATAGCTTGTCTACTACGAACAACTCTGATGGAGTTTTGATTGGCATGTTGAATCTTCCCTTGGTGTTAGATCTGATTGGCTTTTCAGGATCTGGTATATAGCCTTTTTCATGAAGCTCCTTTTGTTAGTGCTCTATAGACATCATATACTAAGTCTTAGTCTTATTTGATACCCAAGGGCAAATTGATTATTTAAATGCTAAATCCTCCTCTCTATCGATAAATTCATTTCCTTTAATTTCAAATAAGCCTTGCTCCTTAAAGATCCCTATCTACGGAGCTTCGTCTTTCTTCCCTGGCTATGGTGCACCTTTAGCTGGAGCTTATTTACCTCCAGCAGCTGGTTATCCCCCTTTAGCTTATGCAGCATTCTAGCCAGGATCTGCTGATGGAGACTAGGGTCTATCGAAGTACTTGGTAAATTCGTACTAAGTTTAAATGTCTATGTTTTTTTGTAAAAATGGATTGACTTTCTCTATATATTTTTGCTTAATAGTGTAATCTTAAAATCTTTAAATTCTTAAGGTTTGCTCTGCTAATGAGTGTCTATCGACTCTTTACTTGGGTGAAGTTTTTAAACTATTATACTTCCCATCCTAGTTATTATTTTATTGAAATCTAGAGGTTTGATTATTATCATTAGATGATGGATTTATGCTAGAAAAATATTGCTGTTGAGAGGGATCTTTAAATAGGGTAGGTTGACTGGTTTTTTAATGTTGATTTTAGTCCAAAAGCAAATTGGATTGACTCATTGAAGTGAGATACTAACTTTAGTTTCTCTACATTATTTAACTTCCTATTATGGATGAAGAAAGCTCGCCATTTTTCACTAAATTATTCAATAAAATATTTCAGAATTAACTTACTTTTCATTAAAATAGTAGCAGATGGTGTTTAAAGTTATCTACCATGGATAGCGTAGCCACTATCATTTCTTATCATAATTTGAGTGAGGGCTTTGACATTCTTCTCTTCCTAACTTACAGGGTTAGGAGCTTAGCCAGCTTAAATCCTTTTATCTCTTTCATTCTGCCATTTAGAGGAATATTGATTTAAATCAGACAGTATTTTATCTTTTCTAGCTTCTTACGATAGAAATGTCAAAGTTGTCCCTCCTGCCATCATAGTATCTTTTGAGGGCTTTTTAATAGTGCTTGATGTACGAGTGGCAGAATTTGGTCTGTTCTTATCTATCGTTGAGAATTGTTGAATTGTTTGATATTTGGGGTCTTTTTAGTTAACTACTGGATTAATTGTGCCAAGGATATTCATTCTTCCACTAAGATAGTTTACTCCAGTATTCCCTGCCTTCATAAATCCATCAGTCATTGTTCTAGATGCAAATTTCTTTTAGTTTTCATGCAAGGAAATATTTGAGCTCATACTCCTCAATGATTCTTATTGTTTCCTAGTATAAATCTTCTTTTCTGTACTCTTAGCTCTATCATTTAACTGATTCTAGTAAGGAGGAACTACTTATCTAGGCAGCCAACTATATCCCTCGAGTTTATCTGTTTAGGGCGTGTAATAATTTTTTTAGTTGCTATATGTTCTATTCGCTTTAGGTATATCTGCACACATTTAAGTATACTAAAATGATTAGATTACTAAGGATTTCATACAGTTTAGGCTAACTTCTAACGCTCACTGAATCCCATGTGTCCAGTTTTATTTGGAATAAACTTTAGAGGTAGATTACCCTATGGATCACAGAGTTACTGAGTACCAGTCTTTTCATCCAATACATAGTGTTTATTATTTTCACAGTCAAACCTAAAATATTGTCATTAATCTCGCAATTGCCTACCAAATTTATTTTCCGTTTGGCGTTTTATTTGTATTAAAGTCTTGCTTGTCTTCCATAATTGTATATAAATTATGAATTTTAGATTTTAAAGTTAATCTATTTTTATTTTATTAACTCAATTTTATTTCATTTTTCATTTACTCATAATTAATCATTTTATAATCTATATGGGGTTTTGGGGTTTTGGGGTTTTGGGG